CATGAAAAAAAACCAACAACAAAACCTGTTGCTAACCCAAATGCCATGATCCCATTTTTTTCAGTGGGGTTTTTTCCCCACATATTTCACATTTCAAACAAAAATGATGACTGGATACCAACCAACTGTCCTTCCCCCTTCCTTCCCTCCAAAATAAGAAATGTCTGCACAAGCCCCTCCCTGCCCTGAAGGGCCAAACACACATTTATTCAGATTAATCATGGAACATGCACACATTTATTCAGATAAATCATGGACCAGGAGCATTTGTGCACATCACTCACTGACATAAGCCCCAGGAGGATAATTTGAATATAATTAATGATAATAATTGAAATTATCAGGGAAGGTATCAGGGGAAAGGCAAGGAGCTCATGTTTTGGTAGCAAACAGTGGCACCACTTTACAGGTATTTCTAAACCCTTCCAAAAGCAGCAGAAGGCATCAGCAGGAAAAAAAAATATTCAAAGAGCTGGGAAATGTTGCTTGATGAATGAAGAAAAATGATGACACTAATTGACATCATGAGAAAACTCAAAAAGCAAAAAACAACCCACCTCCTGAAAGAAAACAAATTAATCTCTTAATCTCTTAAGAAAGAAATTCCAGGGCAGGCCTGAATCTGTCAAAATTAATTTCTCCAGAAATGCACCAGATTAAAAACATAAAGGAAAATAAAAGTGCTCACAGTCACAGAAAAGTCTCAAATATTAATTTTGGGCTACCCATCAGTAATGATTTCCTTAGGAAGTTTTCATAACACCAAATAAAAGTAAATTCTGAATAATACTTGGCTAACAGAGGAAAATTGTCAAGTTACAGAATTTGCTGTTACAATATTGTTGTAGCTGGGTTCTTCTGTTTTGCTTGGGGTTTTTTTTTTGGCTATTCACATGTTATTGTTTCAGCATCAAATACACTGCATAATATAATGCAGAATCAGAAACAAGCAGGATATTTTTAATAGCAAAGCACACTGGAAATTCTGAATTTTCTTCCAAATTAGGACAAGCACAAAGTTCCTTTTTAATACCAGCTGCTTATTCTACAGCTGAGCCTTGTTCCTCAAGAAATGCCTGAAAAACTCTCAGGCACAAACCTCAGTGAATGCAGAAATGATAAAATGGGGTTGTCTGTATTCTCTCTGAGATTTTATTCATTATTTACTATTTTCTTCATTCATAAGGATTGTTTGGGATACAGTAAAGCAGCACAGAAAAGGGATTTTGGAAATGCCAAACAGGCCTCATTCACTGACTACTAGAACTTGTCACAGAAATTATAGATACCATCCTTCTTGTAAGAGACAGAAACCTGAAATACAACATTACTGAAGTAAAATAACACAGGCATAACGAGCTGCTGGCACCAATACCCGACCTTTAAATTCACATTCAAAAATAGCAACTCTGCTCCAGATTTGATTTTTTCCCCCAAAGCTCTTTATGACCTTCTTAGATTGCAACTTCTACCCCTTCTTGTTTTTTTAATCAGAAAACCAAGTGAAAATTTTATTTCTGGTGTGTGCTTTCTAATCTTTCATGCTGGTGAGAGCAGGAAGTGCAGTAAAGCATCCAAGTAATTCAGGAATTGAAACCCAAGGTAAGAGAAGTATATTTACACTTGGGCCTTATTACAGAGAGCAATGAGAATCACAGAGAGAAATGAGTTGAGCATAGCAGCAAAGCTGGGATTTAAGATGAGAAAACTTTCGATTGAATTAGAAATTTTAGAGGAAAAGCATCTTTACACCCCGACAGCCTTTGCAGGGCTAATGTGGAGCACGTGGGGAGCAAACCACGTGGGTTTAGGGATGCAGTGACATGGAACAGTGGTGGGCAGCCCAGCCAAGCTCTGACCTGGAAATGATTCACTTTTGTGTCGTCAATTCCACACCTCCAGCCCTGACTGACAACCCAAGGATGCTCAGGCTGCCTCTATTTTAAGCCCAGCCATTAAACTCGACTGCACGGTGAGCAAGGGGCAAGTTTAGAAGCTGGGGTTGGCAGAAAGGCACCGAAGTGATGTGGAAAACAGAATTTCAGAGCTCCCATCAGCTCGGGCAGCTCCCCAGATGAACTGGATCCAGTGGAAACAGGGCCTGAGTGCTGACATGGGAGTTTCCCACAGCCCCCCTTGGCCCTCTGAGCCTGTGTCATCACAGGCTGCTGCCCAAGCTGCACAGAAAGGTCTGAACTGGGGGAAAAAAACCCAAACCAAAATGTTCCACAGACCCTAAATTAAAGCCAGATGTAGAAGGAGCAGATTCCTGAAATGTACTGTCGCTTCAAGACAGGATAGGAAAGCTTGCTGGTGTTATTATTTATTAATTGTCATGCTGAGGAAGTCTCAGAGAACATTTATGATTTCCTGATGCAGCTGATGTTGAAGAAATAAGTGTTCTATTGACTAAAAAACCCTGCAATTTGTATCAACTTTAACCCACACTAAGTCTGTATTAAAATAGTATGGTTAACAGCACAGCCCTGGAATAGGAATTAAACAGTGCAAGTAAAAAAAAAAAGATTTTCACTAAGTGAAAAGTCTCCCATATTTTCCTGCAAATTGTGTTCCTTTAATCTGGGCAGACACACTCGGTGCTAACAATGTGGGGGGAGTTTTCATGGAAATTCAGGCTATCCAAAAATGTTGTGTTTAACAATCACTCCTACAGAACATGCACAACTTACCCAGATTCTCTTTTAGGCAAACTCCAAACTTAGAAAAAAATTCTCATTAAAGCACTTTTACACACACATCATGAAAGCAGCTAAGCATTTAGGTGAATTGAAAATAAAAAATATTTTTAAAATATTGAAACATGAGAGCAGCACGACAGTTTTTCTGACCACAACAAAACACTCTTGGCAAAATGTTCCAGGAAATGCTTTGAATGAAATCACATTTTAACAGTGAACCTTTTAAAAATAAGCACAAGATTGAGTAGTTTCCCTATCAGATCCAGGTTTATTAGTGAAATATCAGGGATTTATATATGGAATTACAACCCAATTATGATGTTACTGGGTAAATATAAGGTTGGATGACATCTAACTTTACAAGTCTATTTTCTTTATAGCTCTGGACTAGCACTGGATAGATTTTACTAGACAGGAGGAAAGGAAAATCTGCAGTTACCAGAAGCCATTTTTATGGTCTCCAAACGCACCAATAATCCACAAAATCTCTCTGAAGAGTTTGAGTGCTGAAAAGCAGATAACTTCTCACCAGAAAAATGAAATATTCCCATCCCAAAGCAGGCCATACACACCTGATGAAACCTCTCACTGCTTTTGCTGCAGTCTTTAGAGTGTAATGAGAGCATCTCACATCAAAGGAGCACCAACCTCAGCAAATCTAATGGCTCCATTTTAGGGAATACATCCTGCCAAGAGCAGCTCCAAAGCAGCCAGAAACCCAAAAAAATCATTTTGCAGACCTCACACTCCCCAGCTGCAGCATGAGAAAAAGGAGCTTGAAGTACAAAAGAAAATGAATTCAAGATAGGAGAGTAATTCTACAGAAAAGATATTAAAAGTACTCTCTTGTGCAGCTAAAAAATTTCAGAATTGCCCCAGATGAGAGACTCGTGGAGGAGCACAAAACAACCTCTTTGTTTTTCAGAGCCAACAGTGGCAAAATGGAACCAAGAGCTGGTTTTGAATCCAAAGCAAGCAAGAGTGCTCCAGAATCTACAAATAATCTGTCAGCCCTTGCCATTCATTAACACATTCAACATCAACACTATCAAACTGGTTAACTGCTAAAAGAGGAGAATTTCCCCAAAAATGCAGCAATCCTGCAGGGAAGAATGAAGCAAGCTCCCTGGTTTTATGGCAGTTCACCTAATTTGAAAGCATGAGCTCTGCAAATCCTTTGTATGTCAGATTTTCCACCTCTGAGCAGTGATTTCACTGCTTGCATAAACCTCACTAAAACACCCCAGGATTTTTGAAAGGACACAAATTCTGGGTTTTAAGCAAAACTTTGAACTTCAGGAAGTTGTAGCAAACTCATACCAGACTCTGTATTTTGTAGAGAGTATCTGAAAATTCATTAACAAATACCTATTCTGAAGTCACAAAAAGGATTATGAATTAATACCTGCAAAATAATACATTACTAGTTTTAATAGTTTTTCCATTTTACATTAGCAGCTTAGACACAAAGCCAGGCCTGGCAATTAGACTTTAATTAATCTTGCTGTTAATGAGTGGCATGTGTTAAAGGCTGCCTGTTTTCCCTTCCTGGATCCCTCCCATATATATATTTAATTTTTTTCTAGGTATGACCATGCTGATTTCAGAATGCCTTAGGTATTTCAGAGTTCATGTTTCCAGCATCTGCTACAACTATTTTTCAAAGGTTAAAACATGAAACAGAGAGCCAAGTCATCATTATCCACCCAAAACTTTATTAAGAAGCACTGTGGAGCCCTTTCCAGCTGAAAAAACAGCTCCAGCACTTGCACAGGCTGTAGGGACTGAATACTCACTGCTTCAGAAGCATCTCTGGGATACAGCTATGCAAAATTAAATGATGATGTAGAAAGGTAGGGATATTGGCAGAGGGAGGAAGGAACACAAATCATGGTTAAATATACTATTAGGAGATATCTGTTTCATTTTTTATGGAACACAGGAGCACAACTCAATATTGAGTTATCACCAGTGCTGCTGTCCATGGGATCAAACACATCCCAGTTTCTGCACACATTCCATTTTTTGTCACTGGGCAAATAAACAGCATTGTTTCCTCCATATTATAATCCATCAAATTAATTTAATTGACCTAAAATTGCAATTGATTTCCTCACACCACATAATCCAAGTCACCTATTTCCTTTAAAAATAATACTTAAAGCTTCAGATACAGAAAGCTACAATTAATTTAAGAGAATGTCTAAATCATTGTGTCAGTCATTCTGTAAATGAAACACTACTGCTTAATTCTATCATTTGATCATATGATTAATTCACATCCAAATTTCATTAGCTTACCTCAGCAGCCTGTGTCTCCTGGTGTAATAAAGTCAGACCTGTCAAGTCTTCCAAGAAGGAATGTGAAGAATTAAAAACTTTAGCTAAGAAATTAAATCCTTCTCTTTCATACTGGTCAAGGACCTGCCAAATAAACAAAAAGAAAAGTATTTCAAATATAATGCCCACAATATGATCCATCCTCATATTTGGCTCACAAAATAAAAGCAGAATATTTCTGAACACTCAGAAAATGACTGGATACTGCCAACAGGTAAAAATGACAGAGAACACACCAATCATTTTTACCAACACAACTTCTACAGTGAGGAAAGCTGGAAGCAAGAGGGAAGAGCAGGGGGGTTTAAGATTTCCTGCTTTCAATACATTTTTCAGCTTAGAACAAGACAGATGATAGGGCAAGAAGGCAAACTTGGCTGCAAAGCCATGAAAGGAGCATTTGAGTGCCACAAAACACAGTGAAAGCCTGTTCAGTGTCTCAGCTCAGGAAAGAACCATGCTGGGACAGCCTGGAAAAATTCCCCGAGTAGGTGTCCAAGCCCAACATCCTCCCAGCCCCCAGAGATTCACGGTTCTGAGGCTGTTGTATCTTTCTGCTTTAATTTTCCCACTTTATCTTTTATTTGGACAATTTTACAGGCTCCTACAAGAACTGTGAGGTTTCAGTTTATGTGCCTCTCGAGCCCTGACCATAAAGAACTTTATTTCAACTTTAGGGAAGGATCTGCCAGGCTGATCTCTTCCCTCAACCTGCTTCTCACTGGGTTGAAAAGATAAATATCAAACATGAACACAATTCTACACATCTTGAGACAGCAGGCAGTCAGAAAATGGAAGGAATTTATGGCTGAGCAATGCCAGTATCCATTGTTTCCTTATTTTTATTCCAAGCTCTATTTCATACTCTGCTCTCACAGATCAAGCAGCTGAGATTGATGCATTCCAAACAAATTTTCCTACAGAACTTCAAGAAGCAGAGCAGGATTTATGCAGGGACCTCAAAGCCACACATGTAATTAGAAATTAGCAGAATTTGTGACAGGGGAAGGATCATCAGTATCACCCTGGATCCAGAAGAGGCAGGATTTTCACAAGAACACAATTTCTCAAATCACATCTTACTCTCACAATCTTACTCTTTCCTAGTTTAACAATTTCTAATGGTCCCAATACCCATTTCATTGATAAAACTGTGGGAACTTGCCCAGCCCAACTATATTCTTCAGCAAAACACATCCTGTGAGCTTTTACACAGAGTCCTCCAGGAATTCAAGCTCATTAAAAACCATATTTATATTTAGCTGACAGGATTCTAAGTTTACTGATAAAAATAGACTGGGATCCTCACTCATCTCTTCATGCAAAACTACCTAATGTATAATTAGGTTTCAAAAAACACACACAGAAACACAGCTATGAAAAGGAAGACAGATATGGGTGATTATCAAACATTTGGCACCTTCTTGACCACACTTCTTGATAATAAACAAAATCAGCACACTTCATGTTTCTTCCTGAATCTACAGAAATTGTTCTTCATACTCTAAAGTTATTTTGCCATAGGGATTTGGTGTGTGTGTACAATGACTGATAAACATAATCATGAATTTAAAAAGAAAAAGGGCTTTAAAAAAGAAAAAATGTTTGGAGCATTTCCTTGTATTTGTCTTGGGGTTTTTATTCCCGAGCTAAATGAAGTAATGTGAATGTTCACAATGCAATCCAGAGACCTGAACAATTTCAGTATTTTATTGAGATGTGTCCTCTCAACATGATCCACTAAACATGGTGGGATTGCACTGTGGATTTACACATTTAATGAGAATTCTGGGTTTCAAAATTCCACTCAAACAACCCAAGAGCAGCAGTCTCCTGCATGTGGCTCTTAGTGGAGCACTGCACACACACCAGTTTCCAACCCTGAGTGTGTTCACAGCCCTGCCTCTGGGAATTCCTGGACCTGGCAGGGTTATCCAAGGTTTTTGGGGGAACCACAGCCCAGATTTTTGGTGCTGCAGGACAGATCAGAGTTCATGGCCCTCTGAAACCATCCCTAGCCTGCACAAAGCAAACCTCATCCTTATTTTAAATTATTACAGCACCTCAGAGAAACGCAGGGACAACAACAGTGAGGTATTTTGGTCTCTTCCCAGGGGTAAAAACTTATTAAAAGATGTAAACCACCTTGGGCTATGCAAATATTATGAGCAGAGCAGGGAATTGAGTGCAAGCTTTCTATATACAGCTCATCCATCAAGCAGCCCTTAAACCTGGCTGGGTTTGTTATTCAGCAAGTTCTGCTTTGATCCTCGCTCCCAAAAACCAGGATTTGAGCCTGCAGTGAGAATTCCCAGGTGCTGCTCCCTCAGCCAGTGCACAAATGCAGAGTGCCAGGGTGCTGAGCATGAGGTGCCCTGGTTTAGCTCAGAGATGGGCAGACCTTGCCAGGAATTCCTGAGCTCACCCAGAGCCTCCCTGACAGGCACAAAGTCCTGCAGTGCCTGGGGATGGAGCACCTGGAACAGCTCTCCTGAAATCCAAGTGCCCTTTGTGTTGCCATCAGTGTGGATAATGCCAGGAAATCTCTCATTAAATGCCTTTTAAAGTATTAATATTAATAAAATATTAATAAGGTCACAGATCCAGGAGTTGTAGGTACATTATTTTTAGATTTTTTTGGTGTTGGTACACATTAACATGACCAAATGGATTGCTATGGAAAGATTTAAACATTTCTTTTCCCCCTGTGTGGCACAGAGCTTCCATGGGGCCACAATGGCAAATTCAGGTTTGGGTAATAAATCTGACCATACACACAGGATCTTCAAAACCTAAAGCACAACAATAAAGAACATTTTTTTTCTTCCAGCAGCAACCACAGAAGCCTGAAAAGCTGCATTACAAAGTGAACTTGCTGATTATAACAACTTGCTTTTTACAATGAGGACAGCCTGCTGAATGGATGTATTTGCTAAATAGTTTTAAATCCAGAATTCCAGCCACAGGAACCAACAAATGTCCTATCAGAGAGCCAAAACATCACCTGCAGCACCACATGTGCTGCCTGAGCAGGTACCACTCAAGAAGATATCCCCTATAATGAAATCCTTTCAATATAGGCAGTGACTGGGAGAACATTTTGTCACCCTCAGGGACTTTATTTCCCAATGAAATGATTAAAAGTTTCCAGTGCCACAAAAGGGAAGAACTCCATGAAGCTGTCCCACATCTAACCTTTCCCACCCAGATTCAGTAGCAGCTTTTCTCTGATAAATGGAACAGGGCAGAGATTTGTTCAGCAGCCACTGAGCAGACCTCAGAAAGGAAAAAGAATGAGGCAAAATAATCTCAGATTCCTGTGCCAGGAGACCACACAGGGAATAATCACACAGGAATAAAACCAGTCTGGACAACAAAGACACAAAATAATTCTAAAAGACGTTTTCAGATTTAATAAGTAGCCAATTTGTTGTTGCATGGAAAGAAAATTTTCTCCTATTTAATCATGCCCAGCAGAGCCCAAGGCTGACACGGATTTGCTTCTGCACTTCTGAATAATTCCTCACCATCCTTGGTCCCACTGTGACCCTCCCAAGGAACAGCTTTACAGGAGCAAAACACTTGAGAGATGCTACAATTTTGATGATTCTTCATCTCAAACCAGTTACTGTGTGACCACAGATGTACAAAATCCCACCTGAACATTTCAGGGAATAAACCCAGCCCTTCAGTGATGTGCCACTATGCAGCAATTCATCTGCCAGGCAGAAAAAAAACACTATAGAAGCACAATAAAAAGAACCAAAAATACACAATTCTTGCACCCAGCCAGGGAAGCTGGGGCAGGCAGGATTTATTAAGGAACTTTTATTTTTTCCTCCCCTGCAGGTCATTTTTCAGAGCTTAGGAGAGCTGGGAAACACCAATTCCTTCTGGATTTCATGGCTGCTACAAACACTGCCAGGAGAATCCACGTTTTCACACCACCCTCTCCTGACATGCAAATCTCTCAGGAACCTTCATTTGAGTCTCCATTTACAGAACCAGAGCTCCAGAATTGGTTTTCTTTACACAAAGGCATTTTAATAGAGCAAATCAAGCTGGGGATGCACATCATCACAACAGGACCAAACCATGGCCTGCCAAAGCTGAGTAAATGATACCCAGTAACCCATTTCATGAGCAATCTTTTTATTCTGGCCTGCTTGCAAAGTTTAAAAAAACCCCAAATCTCATGGCAGAAGGAAAAAAATACAGGCTTAGAGTAAAAGGACTTGCTTTGAAATGAGAAACAGATGTTCAGCCTCGCTGTTATATTCTTTTGAACAGCATTCTGCACAAAGTTGTCTCAATTGCTGGGTACAAAGACATTCAGAAAGAGAATCTGGCTCCAGGATTGCTTTATAGCAGAAAAGTTAGTATCTGGTTAAGCAAAAACACAAAAAACAAGCTCCTAACCCAAAGAAACTGGCTACTGATGCAAAATTGGCTCTTGTTTTATTTCTGTCACATCAATTTGAAACTTTTTGACCAGTATTTACATTTGGTTTGGCTTTTTTTTTTTTTTTTTTTCAAAGTCGTTTGCATCTGCAGAGCTTGAACCAGTGCTGTTTACTTTCCAGGAAAAATAAAATAAGGAATGAATGCTACCAGCTGAATTATTTACACTAAATAAGATTTCTGGGTAACTTACCCCCAAAACAAGTTTCTGGATTTAAACACTTCCTTCCCTCAAAGGGAGCAATACTTTACCACACATTTCAGTCACAAAAAAATTCCCAATATTCAAGGTTCTGTTTAGAAATTGGCCAGGCCTGGGTATATTTTTACACACTGTAAACTCCCTGCTTATCACAGGCCATGCAGCAAAGATAGAAAATTACTGTTCACCTGCTGAAAAGACACTTTTAGAAAGTAAGACAGACATGACAGCTCCAATCAAAATTCAATGTATCTCCTGGTAAAACAACAATTTGAGGAAAGTTTTATACTGTGAAGAATCTTCCTGAATGAGAAGAGAATGAGCTGAGCCATTGATTCAATATTCAAAATGTTACCATACAACCCATAATTCTGGTTTCTTTAAAAAAAATCCTCATTCCCAGACTCTTGCCTTTTCACTA